GGGGTTGCATTTTCAATTAGATCTGGAGTCAGACCATCTCATTCCTTACGTGGTACAAGTGGCATGTGGCTACTCATATTTAAATTCAAGTTAATAAAAAACAAACAAACAAACAAACAAACAAAAACAAAAAAACAGCCGAAACCAGTTTGGCTCCGTGGATAGAGTGTCAGCCTGTGGACTGAAAGGTCCCGGGTTTGATTCCAGTCAAGGGCATGTACCTTGGTTGCAGGCCCATCCCCAGTAGGGGGTGTGCAAGAGGCAACTGATCGATGATTCTTTCTCATCGATGATTCTAACTCTCTATCCCTCTCTCTTCCTCTATGTAAAAATTAATAAAATATATTTAAAAATAAATACATAAAAATAAAACAGAGCAAAAAAGCGAGGCTTAAGAGAGAACTCTTTGAAAAATTACAGCAAAAGTTACATTTAAAAATTCAGTTCCTTACTCACACCAGCCACATTCAGGTGCTTCTGGGCCACCTGGCTGGTGGCTGGGGCACTGCCATCAGTGAGGAGGCTCTCTTAGCCAGGCCGCCCAGCCTCTCACTGGACCACCTAGCTCAGCCGCGGACAGCTCTTGCCTGGATGGTGTAATAGCCTCTCAGTGGATCTGGCTTCTTCAGGTTTTACAACACGACAGCCAGAGTCATCCTTTTACAGCAAGGCTCTCAGAGTCGTCCAGAGGCCCCAACATGTGTCTCTCAGAAAAGTTCTTGGGCTAGCAATCAAGGCCTTCCTCGCTCCAGTCCTTCTCCTGTCTGACCTTTCCCAGCCTTGCAGCATGCCCTGCTGCCTGCTGCTCCCTCTGAGGCTTCTGCTCAGGCTGTGCCCTCTGTCCAGAATGCTTCTTCCCGAGATCCTCTTGGGTCCTCCCTCTCCCCCTTCACCTCTGCGGCAACATGGCCTCCTCAGTGAGGCTGCTGGGACTGTTCCACTTTTAACACTGCCCCCTCCAGCACCCCTCCCAGCGTCCTGCTCTCCCATACCACCTTGCTTTCCTTTTTGTGTCCATAGCCCTTATCTCCTTTCATCACACTGGATGCATTTCCTAGTTTATTATATGTATGTCTTATCTGACAGGGGTCTTTGTCCAGTTACTTACACTGGAGCTCGGGCCTAACTGAGTGGTGCTTTAGAGCTTGAATGGGTCCTGGACATCATTCCTGGATGGAGCAGTTGGGGGCCAGAGAGGAGGCGTTATCACTGGACTCACGATAGTTCCAGGGAAGAGCTTGGACTAGGAGCTAGCCTAGCCCTAGGCATCTTCAAGAGGCAGGCCTCAGGACAATGAACTCCCTTTCCTTCCCTCTGTCACAACCGGAGAGACACTGACAAACCACAGAGACCTAAGGGGGACAACAACCAAACTCTAATGCCAGCGATGGCTGCCACTTTCATCCTTCCAGGATGCAGCCTGGCCCTGCCTCTTGGGGGCTGGCAGGGAGTGAGGAGCAGAGTAGAGGCCCCAGGTAATGGCTATTCACACACGCCATTCCTATCCTGACATGTCACAAACACCAAGGCTCTTGGAAAACTGGAAACATGCATGGTTGCTAGATTACATTTTCCCCTAAAGTAACATCAGTCTTGTTTAAGAAAAAGGTCATGGTTTCATCATGTCATCGCTAAATTAGTATTGGAGGAAAAAGTTGGTTAATGCAAAAGGAATGCTGCTTTAGTGCGTTATTAAAATATTAGAGGCCCAGTGCATGAAATTCATGCACTTGGGAGGGTGTCCCTCAGTCTGGTCTGCGCCTATCTTGCAGTCTGGTTAGACCTGGGGATTGTGCCTAAGTCAGCAGTCAGACATACGTAGGGAGAGGCTCCCCTACCACTGCTGCACTCGCCAGCCATGAGCCCGGTTCAGGGTTTCTGGATGAGTGGTGCACCCCATGTGGGGACACACTGACCACCAGGGGACAGCTTTTGCATTGAGTATCATAGCGACAGGTCGTTCTGCTATTCGACCAATTTGCATATTGACCTTTTATCATATAGGATTCTTGACAATCCAGAATAGATGAGAAGAAAGGCAGAGCACAGACCACATTTTGTGTTGGGGCGCATCTGTCCCTCTGTGTGTACAGAAATGCCGTCTGAACATACATATTTCTAAGTGCCTCGGGATGATGGCTTTTCTGCTGCCAATTCTGCTTCCAACGAAATGGCGTGAAGGAGTTTCACGCTCATAAAGAGACCTGCTCACAATGGCATGGCTGCAGGTCCAGCCTGGATTCTATCCAGGCTCACTGGGCAATTGGACTGGCCAAAGTATGCGATTAAGAACAAACTTATCTTTATAGCCATTCCTTCATTACCGAGATAACTCAATTGGAGACTTTTTGGGAGATGCCAGATCTGGAAATAAAATCCTTACTGCACTGCAATGTCACGAAGATTAGACCAGAAAACAAATTGATGTCCGCAGACACTCTTCTGTACGTGCCAGAAAATTAGATCTCAGGAGAGATGAGCTGAGAAGTGACATCTCAGGGTGGGAAGGAGGCAGAGCACAGGGAAATCACTCCAGGGGCTTCCCAGACAGAGAAGGTCCGGTGTCTGCCTGCTCGCCTGTGTCACCTGGGGTGGCGCTCTTCGCTGCTTTCACTAACTTGCCCCTCCCAGCTCCCAAACCATTATTTCCACAGCCTGGTCACTGTCACTGTCACTGCCACCATGGGCAGAGTATGAGCACTTTCTGGGTCCCTTGTCCTAAGTGAGCAACAGGAGACTGGTAAGGTGACTCACACAAATCCAGCCGTTGACAGTTGGATTTCCTGGGAAGGAACCCTGTGAGGATGTGAAACAGTTCACACTTGGCTGTTGCTGGTGCACAGAATGCCGTTTCCAATGCCCCACTCCCAGGTGCGACTGGGCTTGTCCATCACCGGAGCTGTAGTCAGGCCTGCGCTAACGAAGCCTCTGACCACACAGCCCTGTCCCAGGCGGCCGCAAGTCGGCACCACCTGCTCTGCATCTGGTTTACTTCTTTATGGGTCCTCTTCTCTCAAGTGCCTGTTAGAGTTGCTGTTCCAAACCTCATGGCTTATTTAACTGATCTCATTACAGGCTTTCAAGTATCAGAGGGTACGAAAAAGATCAACCTTGGCAACAAAAGAATAAATGTTTGCACAATTTAGAATATTTCTCCCAGCCTCTGAAAGGACAGGAGCCTTTAGGAAAGCACGCAGTTGCTGACCCTGTATAACCCTCAGAGGTACTGACAGAGGTCAGGCTTGGGGACCCAGTCTCCCCGTTGCTCACACGCACACACAGCCTGGCCCGCCAGCTGTCACGGTGCTGTGGTCAGCACGTTCAGGAACTGTGGAGGGGTGGGTACTGTGTGAGCATTTCTCCTCCAGGCACACAAGCAGAATACTGGGTCAAGGACTGCAGCCCCCTTCCACTCCCCCCCGCCCCCCCGTGGGGGAGGGCGGGGACTCAGGATGTTGGGTCTCTGCCTTGTCAGAACCCAAGCTCCCCGTCTTCCAGGCACATATATGGGGTGGGTCCCCAAAGTCCGTCTAGAAATTATAAAAACACGTTTTGGGATGTGAGCTCATTCAGCTGAGGTTGTAAATTCAAACACTTATTCCTCCCTTTATCCCCTATTCATTCACTCAGTCATCCACCCATGTAACAGATGCTTATTGAGTAGCTTCCTTGTGCTACGTCATGTGCTGGGTTCTAGAGCTCAGTACAGAGATTTCAATAGCAAGAATGCTGTCTATTAAGGATGACAAGTCTACAGATTATGGTTCCAGGGGAGCCTCATAGTTTAAGTTCCCGAAGGACCCCAGGAATACTTCCTGGGTGTGGAGAGATGCATGTTTTCACCCTTCTATTCAATAAGCACTAATGGAACAGGGTGCTGTGCTGGGAGCTGGAAATACAAAGCTCGCTCTTGCTTCAAACACTCCCTCCCTGCAGTCAACAAACCAGAGTTCTGAGTTCCAAGTCATGATGGTGACTCTTACAAGATGGGGGAGGTGGGATTTCCAATGGGCGGAGCCTGTGGGAGCTGAGGAGGAAGGGGGTGCCCGAGAGGAGAGGTATGTGTTTGGGGGAGAGGGATGTTGGGTGAGGAGTGTCTGCCAGCACACGTGGAGGGAGGCACACTGAATAATTCTCTTTTTCTTGGAATTGCCCAAACCACGATGCCAATATTACCCCCTATTGTTGCTAAACTACTTCCCCATCCAACTCTGGGTCTATTTTGGGGTTTTAATGTGGGACATGGAGAGCCAAGGCCTTAGAGCAGGAAGGTCCGGGAAGGTCTTTCCTTATGTCCTTCCTCCCACCTTTAACTGCTGGGTGCCACCAAAGACCCTGAAGTGGGCCAGCCCCAGGGAAGGCTGGGAAATAATGAGCAGGCTGGATGTGGCTGATACTAGTAAGTGGGAGGGGCTATAGACGGGAATACCAAGTACCCAGAAGAAGGTTCGAGGAGTCCCTGAGCCGTGAGCCCCTCCCCAGGCCTCTGTGTGCCACCTCAGGGTGATGGAGAACCACAGCACAAACGACAGAGATTCAAGAAATGCAGGTCTTACTGTCCCTGACAAGACTTTGGACCACAACCACTCCAGGCCTCAGCTTATTCACCCCTAAAAGGAGTCTAATCAGACCTGCATTACCTGTCTCATAGGAATAAGGCAGAGGTTAGAGGAACTGAGGGGATAATGGGAAAATACCATCCAATCCTTCTAAACGGTGCTCCTATGCCCGGGAGAGCAATGCCTGCTCCCGTCGGGGCAGAGACCCCACCCCTCACACGTCTAGGTGCAGATGGGTGAAAGCACTTCGGATCCTGCCCAAGAGCCCGTGACGTTACTTAACAATTCAGGGGCGAAAGGGAGCTTTGGGTCTGCGTTTTTAGTTACTGAACCAACAACAAATCCGACTTAACATTAACTCTTCACAAAAGTGTTTCAGGAGCTCACTCTTCACAACCAGCACCAATGGGTGGAGGCTGCCCGCCTGTTGGCCTCCCTCACCTGGGTGTCCGTGGGGGGGTCTTCACCCCGCCAGTCTGGAAGCAGCTCCCTGGCCAGAGTGTTCTCAGCACATACTGACGAGCAGGTCTGAGGCCATGGCTCGGCTTCATTCTGCTTTTGGGAATGGATTTTTCCTAAACGAGGAAATGTATATGAAACTACAGTCAGCTTTCTTCAACTCTATGGAAAGGCAGGGAGGGGATGGGGGAGATGTTCAGAAACAATAATAAAGGCCCCAATGTGGTGAAAGCTGCACTTTCCAGCGTTCTGCCCCTGGCAAGTGTGTCCTAACAGGCACGTCTGCATAGCTCTGTCCGAACACAGAGAATGTCCCCCTTGGAGACTAAAGGCAAACTGTCCTGGGACCACTTGGCCATGAAATGCTGATAAGCTCTGCATGTTAAGAAAGGGCTCAGGGGGCGAACTGGGAAACACTGGTTATTTATCAAATAGTATTTTTTTTCCCCATCAAATGTCTAACAGGTTTCCATTTTGGAGCGCTTCTCAGAGCCTTCATTGTGCTAACGGGGACAGTCATAGCTTCCAAAGGGAGGTTTACATAAACAGCCTTTCCCAAACATATTTGAGCAGGGAACGCTGATTTTCCTAGGATACCTGTGAAGGTCATTTTAAATGATGTGGTTTGGGAAACTTCACTCAGAGACCCTTAAAAATCCTGCAGAGCTGGACTCCCCAAACCTGGATTTGCACGTGCATCCACTGAGCTGTTGTTAATTTAACTGCGGATTCTGATTCAGTAGGTTTGGGGGGGGCCTGAGATTCTGCATCTCTGACAAGTTCCTGGATGCTGCTGCTGAGGTTGGCCATGGATCCCATCCTGAGGATCGAGGATGTAATTAGCAGAGGTTAAGGAAAGGACGTCCTCTATTTCCCATAAGAGCAGATCAACCTGCAGAGTGTATTCCCTCTTGAGCCAGAAAGGGAGGCTGCAATGGGCCTCAGAGGTGAACAAGGGGACAGGCTGGGATAGCCTCTCACCAGCGTTTTGCTTGTGAGCAGAAGCAAAGTATTTCCATCAACACTTGATTAACAGCATTCGGCTGTCACTGATGATTGAGATTTGTACAGTTACTTCCATTTGTGATATGGAGATAAGAGAAAAACCAATTCAAATGCATGCATAAAGGAAGGAGTGATTGCTCTCAAGCACTCTCCTTTCATGGCAGCTAGTTCTCCATTCCTTAATTTTTAAAATGAGTCACCAATGGCCACAGACAAAAGAGAGCCCCTGGAAAACTGGCCGGAGAACCACGTTGACAGTATCATTTGGCGGACAGGAAGCTCCATGGTGGGCAACACCAAAGCATCCCTCCCCATGTCGACCTCACGCTTGGCCATATACTGCTTTTTTTACAACTCTCCATGGCAATTTAATTAAGACACAACCCTTAAGAAACCGGTGTGTTGAATACTTGCAGCAAGATCAGAACAATCTCTTTCCTATCCCCTTCTTATGAAGCAATTCAAGGCTTGCAGTTTCTATTCAATTTGTTATAATGACAGTGCTTAATCATGGCGTCTACTCGGCAGCCCGCTGCCGAATTGAGGTCACACATGTGACTATTCAGGCATGGAGCACAATCTATAACTAAGATTTCGCCCCTGAATCTCTGGAGGCGGTGTCATTAATTAACAATGCATGCATTTCAAAAAATAATATGCATTACAGCTTTTTAAAACGTAGCCTGGGCTTGAAATAAGCAGACGTTTGCGATGAAACATTCATGGCAGCTAGTATTACAAGGAGAAGGGAGATCCCAGCCATGGGAATAGCGCAATCACGTTGAGTCAAAGATGTTTAATTAAAAGTCTTCTTTTCTAATTTTTCAGGAGCCTCTAATATAATCTCTACTTGTGGCTCCTTTCTCAGCATCAAATAATAAAGGCAAGTCTTCAGAGTTCTATTTCATATGCTTATTTATGTCACAAGTGCAACGTGGTCCATACAAGTTAAAAAATCATGCAGTGTCCTCTTGAGCTGCAATAAATATTTTTAATCTTGAGGGGCCAATAAAAAAAAACTGTGACCCTTAGCCTGGTCCTATCTTTAATCATGAAAGATTGTTTCAAATGACGGCAGCCAAAAAGATGGTAATTCTCCGTGGGAAGGCTCACGCCGCTCTATAGCAGTGAATGTGCAATCTACTGCTGATGCATCCAGCTAAGATTTTATAGTTCCGCATATACACACATTTGAACAGGATAGGATTATATCAGAAGACATATGTTTCTGGTTAGAGGGCAAACAGCATTTCAGTTAAATTTATGTCGAGTCTAAATTATCTACAATCAGAGTTAAGTTTTAAAAGATAAAAGCCCACGCCTGTGTTGTGTGTGTGTTTTTTCTTAATCAATTTACATATCCATATCCCTGTGCTTACGTGCCGGCTTCCTTTATCTGTGTGTACAACTCCTTACCAGGATGCTAAGGGCAGATAATGCTTACTGCTTGTCTTCTTGCTTTTTGGTGGAGGACATGCAGGGCTTTTCATGGGACCACATGTCCACCGGGCAGAGGTCACTCACTGACTTCCTGGCAGAGACTTTTTCTGCGGTGCATTTTCCTGTATGTGCATGATCTGGGTGGAAAAACAATCTAATGTGGAAGGTAATAGGCACTTTACCTGAGGAGGCTGGTTTGGGAAGACGACTCTGCAGAGGCCGCGTAACCCTGGCGGTCATGGTGGGGTCGGATGTGGAGTGAACGATGGCGTTGTCTGCAAAGTCCTGGCTGTCGGTGGAGGAAGGCACTTCTCGTTCAAGGGTCTGGGCTCGGGTGGAAGGAGCTGCACAAAGGACTGGCTGGAGGCACAGGTCAGGCTCCGTGTCCGCAGAGGGATCTGCCTGGCACATGTACCGTCCGGCTGAGCGAGTCCCCGAGTCTGGGAGTGGGAAGGTCCCGATCCCACTGTCGAGTGTCCTCATCTGGCAGTTGGATTCTGGAGAGAGGAACAGAGTGAGGGTCAGAGGCGGCTCACAAAAAGGAGGAAGGGTTCTGGCACTGGCTGTCGTCTTGAGGAAAGGGGACCCCTAGAAGGAGGAAGCACTATTCCTGGTGAAGTAAATTTCCAGGGAGTGGCATGAAACAGACATTTAATTGAACATGAACATGTTCCCTTCACATAACATGAGGTAAGAAGGCCTTCGTTTCTGCAGCAAGAGCCACATGTGCATATGCCCTGATAGCTCTCCAGAGTTATAACAGAAAAAGAACAGTAGTTAGAGACAAAAAATATTGCTTTTGACCCCCTTCTTTCAATTGGGGATCATATGACTTCAACCAACCAATCAAGTGGACTTTATTAACTGAAATAAGAGTAATGAGCATCCATCACAAACTGAGGTCCCAACAAAGGTCACTGTGCACCCCCTTGCATGGTTCATCAGCCATTCATTTGGCTGTTAACTGAGCTTGTGGCCTCTCAATCTGACTGTGAGGACAAGTGATTCACAGGCTCTAAGGTCATCCTGGAGTTACCGTGGTAACATCACTCATCATGTGGACTTCACCGGACCCATTGCCATTTGTAGTCTTCCTGAGAAGACCACTTTCTGTCTTTCACTCACACCTTATGCCATGACAAACTCACTAGTATCTTTTGTGACTTCTGTCATTCCCAGGGATCCCACCATTCCCTAAAACAAATTAAGTTGATTTCATCATAGGTGGGTGACATATTCTGCTAATGATATCTCATCTTCACAGATACATTATCCGAAATAATTATTACATATTTAATTTCTAAGATGGTGGTGTGGATTATCCAACCCAATGAGACAGCGTCCAAGATCTGATTGTCACCCCACAGGTTTCCTGTTTATACGATAAGCTTAGGGTGAAACATCCTTAGTATAATAAGATTTGTGTTGGCATCTTATACATTTATGACTGGGAAGAGGCACAATGCAGTGCTGTGTTCAGCATGGTAGAGAATGTAACAGAATACAATGTAATCTTCGCATCAAGAGGCTCAAAGGCTAACATTTCTGTGGTGCTTTATGGAGCAGTGGCTTGGGTTCCATAACTGTGTGAACCCCTATAGAACATCATGAACCTCTCAGGTGTCAGGTTCCTTATAGGGCTGCTGTGAGACTAAAAATGTGTTCACCATTGACTTTCTTGAACTCAGAATGCTATCTAGCATAGCTAAAAGAATAAAAAAAAAAAGAATGTTATATACAGAATGCTTAGTATATTTATTAGTATATATCAGATAGGTGAATAGTTTATCTTTAACTACATTTCTTATACAATCTCATTTGATGCTCAGCAATTAGTATCTGAACTCCAGAATCCACCTATTCCCCACCCCAAAACCTCTTTGCTCTGAGTAGAATTCCACCAGGGTCCTAATACTAAAGGAAAAGTAAAGAGTTGGCATTTATAGGTTCTAGTGGGTTTGGTGCTTGATTTTGGACGTGCCAGGATGATGAGGTCCATGTTGGAAGAGAGTCTTCAGTCTCCATAGGGATATTTGTAGGAAGATGTAGCTAGCCTTTCCCCAGTGAGGTGCCATTTAGCTATCTCTTGCACTGTCACACCTGGGCTGCCATGGGCTGCAGAGCCCTGACTCACATGGCCATGGTCTGGGAGTTCCTCAGGATTACAAGGGCTAAGTTTGAGACGCTCTCACTTCAGGGCCTCCAAATGGTCAGCTATACTCTCAGCCAGCTTTACAGATGATTCACTATCTCTCCATTCATCTTCTCAGTTAAGAAGACTTCACGGTTACAGAATGGCCTTGCGGAGAAAGGACGGGCTGTTTACACAGGGAAGTGTTGCCAGAGGAGTTGGAAAAGAAAGACCCTGCTATGCAGAACCCAGTGTCCTTTATTTTAGCCTAGATTCACAGGGCTCAGACTTAGTACATCACATGCTGTACTCGGGCAATTCTAAGTGTCTGGACTATTTTAGTTTCAGATAGAAATGGATCTTTATCAGAATGGACCTAGCCTCTGAGGAAGGGAATAAAAAATTCATGGGATATAGCAGCTCAGGTCTTAGTCCCTGTATGCACAGACCGCCTGCCATATAATAATTTACTCCCTGCATCTTTTGGATTATCTATCCTTGAACCAAAGAATGCTCAGCATGGAGGATGCTGGAGACTCTTTCTTTAGTGAAGACAGATCACCAAGTCTGGCTGCTTATTACAGCTACCAGGAGTTCACCGTTTTCTTTGTATCATCTCTTCATCTTCACAATCCTAAAGGTAAGAGCTATTACCGCCATTCACAAATGAGGACCCATGGCTCAGAAGGTTAACTTGCCCAAGGCCAACTGTTATAAATAAAGCTCTTGGACCTGACCATGTGCTTAACCATGAAGCTATACTGATTTCCTCCCCCACACCCCAAAGCACAGATAAATCCAGAAGTGAGGTCCACTGAATAAGCAGCCATCGAGGCAGCCTGGTGAGAGGAAGGCCCACAGAATGGCCCTGCTCCTGGGCAAGACGCCCAGCCTCTCTCCTGAAACTGGGGCAGGCCCTCGGATCCATGCTGGCCCCTGGATCCATGCTCCCCATCCTGAGGCTGAGGTCCCCTGTCCACATTCCCAGGTTCTGGGTAGTTGCTGCCAGGCGCAGGATGCCTACACATCCTGACTGATCCATCCCTGAGAACCACCGCTGCCCAGGAGGTTACCTCTGCCCTCTCAGACCTCATCTGTAGAGTTCTGAGCCGGCTTTTCCTGGAATTCTCTTACCACCAAGGATAATGCTTTCCTGGCTTTGTCTAAGAACTGTAAGAACTCTCCCCCCATCAGGCTTTTTATGGCTGAGAAAGCATTTAATGCAGCTGACTCAAAAAGCAACATGAGCTTCTTGGAGGCCTTTTCAGTGATTTTCTGACCAGAGCCCATGGCCTGGCCTGTGACACAAGACAAGAAATAGGGCAAGGAGGGCCTGGGGCAGGAAAAGTGATGATGTCAGTCTACGTCGGCTGCCCTTATGGCATTTGCCCTTTAAATTATTTTCCTTTCCCTATAGTCTTGTCCTACCAGATTCTATAATATAAACCGGGACTTCTGGTATTCCTGACGTCTCTGGTTCTCTGAGAATTGTGTGCACTGACATTAAATTCAGAAACCACCTACTATTAATGCCAGTTCTATTTCTAAAAATTACAGATATGCCAAATGTAGTGAATGTGAAGGACTCCTATGTAAGTACCTATGAAATGAGGTGTGGACAGTCAGGGACTCAGGCGCTACTAGTATAAGCTAAGTCTCACCCTCGAGCGGGTTTCTCCAGAGTGCATAAACCTGTGGAAATGGAGTTTATGTCAGAAATGCGGACACCTTCTTTATGTGGTTTCTTTAAGGCGCTGTAAGTTTCTCCCAGTTCATAAAAACACTGGGAGCCTGAAAAAGCATTAGGGATTGCACTTTGGAAGCCAGCTTTGCCCTCAGAATTACAAGAACTCACAAAATAATTAAATGGCTGTGATAGGAACAAAGTTCAAAGGGCCAAGCCAGCCTTGCATCCCCAATGAGTTGGCTCAGTCTTGATCTTGACAGGTTTTGCACATTTGTGGCTGTGAGAAAACAGCTGCCAATAGGACCTTGCTAATGAGTTCAAGGGTCAGGCTGCCGGATGGACCAGCAGGTTTTATTCTTCCAAAGTCACCAATTACATTTCTGACCCCAGTCCGCTCTCTCACCTTCTTCCCATTGTCTTATTTGCCTTCTTTCTATCTCTCTAGGTAGGTTCTCTCCCTTACCGCCAACAAGCCCCAGGCATGAGATGGCTTACAGCAGAGATTCCTACTCCTTTAAAGTCAGAGCTCAGACAGAAAACAGGCATTTCCCCGAGGAAACACCAGCGCCCCGGGGGCATGGCCGCCTCAGTGCCTCAGCTCAGCAGCTCAGCAACTCAGCGCCCCTAGGTCCATCAGGGCGTGTGAGCAGCAGATGCTGGGACTCTTACAGCGTGGACTCGGGGTCTTCTTTACTCACACCTGGAATGCAGTGCCAAGGAGATGGAGACTTCTTTGGTCACTTGGCAGCTGCTATAGGAATCTGCAGGCCCTCCTTTTTGGGGGAAGACCATTAAGAGTGCTTGGGATAGGAATACCTTCTGGCATCAGAACTTTGAGGAAGGTTATTGTGCACTAGAGGGAGGGGTGCAGCCAAGGGGTGAGCAGCCGAGAAGGGTGAGGGTCTACCTGGGTGGTGGCAGAGAAGAACTTTTGGAGAGATATTTCCACCAGGGTTTATTCAAGTGTGAATTTAGGGTGCATAATACAAAATCCTCACTCGCTGGCCAATGAGCCCCTTCTGCTTTGTACAGGTGCCTCAGCAGGTGGCTTTAGTTTTTTCACCTGAAAATTAGGGGTGCTTTGAGAACTAGACATCATGCTATGTTTATTAAAACATGTAATAACATAGCACGGTGCATCCAGCATGTACATAACTGTTATCTAGAAGATGCCACTAATTCTTAAAATCAGTGTTATTAGACTGTGAGCATCCTGGGTGCAGACTGAATTTTATTTATCTCTTCAATATTCCCATCAGCCCATTCCTCATTCTGTGTTGCCTTTACTACACAGTAGGCAATTAATTATATGCTGACAGAGCTGATAATAATGGTAGGCTGACATGGTATCTGCTACCTTCACTATCACCAGTGCTCAGCACAGCACCTGACGCATAGTCTGTGCTCATGGAATATAATGTAAGAATAGGTGGATAAAGAGCAGCTCTAATCTTTAGAAAGTTCTTCCTGAAATTAAATTGAATATGAACTTTTCCTTTTGAAACCCCAATCTGCTGCTTTTTGTTCTTATTCCAGCTACCAGAGAAAACAGCTTACTTCCTCCTCCTGTGTAGCTCCTTCTTACATACAGCCAGACGTTATTAATTCAGATAGCCAGAGGGATAAAATCATTCAGAATTACTGAATATTTTAAAGACTGATTTCTTAATACTTTAAAG